GTCCGATAGTTCTCCGTCGTCCATGCGCCCCCGGGCCCGCATTCCATCGTGGAATTGGCGGATGACTTCGCGGGAATCCCGGCCATGGCCAGCACCTTCCATAGCATCTCTCGGTCCACCGAATCATTCGGATTGTTCAAGTCGACGAAGCACACGCAGAGCGGTATTTTTTTTCTCCGCCTCCGCTCCTGGACGCGGCGCACGACGAACAGCATGTCCACGGTGGATCGCCCGGGTCGAAATCCGCACTGTTCCTCCGGAAGGATGTTGTTGGCTTCGCAGAAGGCGCTTAGACAGTTGGTGATGATCTTGATGGGGACCTTGCCTACGTGAGATAGTAGCGAAANGGAATATCTCCTCCGTTCCACACCTTGACGAGGATGGTATGGAGGTGTCCCAGGACGAAAGGTTCGTCGTCATCGATCTTGAGCAACTCGGCAGGGACGGAGTCATGGCCGGGTGCCTTGCAGTTCTTGAGGCGTTGCCCGTGCCACCTCCTCGAGTTCTGGCACATCTCCCAACCGTTGAGTGTCACATGTCGCTGGCCACTTCGTCACTCGTTCGATTATGTGTGGGTTCAGGGTGGGGGATTTGGTGTTGAGTAGGGTGCTGAAGAATCTCGCCCACCGCTGGAGGATGTCGTCCCTGTTCCGGAGCAACACGCCGTTCTTATCCGCGACGAACTGCTGTCCCCCCGCTTGTCTCCCGCTGAGGCCCACCGACCTCTTGAGGTGTTGGTACAGTCCTCGCATGTCGCGATCTTTGTAGGTTGCTTCGAGTTCAGTCACATACCCGTCCAGATGGGCATTAATGCCAGTTTCGACAGCTGTGGCCACTCCCTTACACGCTGCTTTGAGAACCCTCCACGTTGCTGAGTTCCAGTTACCCCTCATCGCCCGGCGCGCTTCCCGAAGTTTGGTAAGGGCCTGCTCCAGCGCTGCTCGCGTCTCTGGGGTCTCACACCACTCCTGCGTGCGGCGTCTCCGCGGTTCCTCCCCCAGGGTCGTCCGCGCCGCGTAAAGTCGGTCGCCAATTCCGCGGCGGTGGTTGTTCGCTCGTCCAGTCGTGTGTCGAGGTTGACGAGGAACCGGTTAGTCACCGCACACCGTGCTACTTCGAACTGCAATTCTTGTGGGTTGAATTGCTTCTTCTGTTTCGGTTTAGTCCGGACTGCACGGTTGTGGGCAAGCCTGCCACCGAGGTTGACGGTGGCTACTACCATCTTATGGTCTTGAGTCTGTTTTGGCTGGGCGAACCGGCTGGGGGATGACGACCACATTAGATACTCGGCCGTGATGTGCCTGCCTTGTCAGGATGTAGTCAAGGCGCTTGCAATCGTTTCCCGACACATCGTTGTATGTGTGCCATTTTCACCCCTTGCGTGTCTCAAAGAACGTGTTCGTGAGAGCTAGCCTATTTTCCGTTGCGAAGTTCAACAGCAGTAGCATGTCATTGTCGTTGAGTTCATCACGCCCGTACATTTCCTATTACCCTTCCGTCCCCTCCGTCCAACCTATCTCCCGTTCGCGCGTTGGCGCCCAGTAGGACATACACACATTCTTTGGAATGGATCCTCCGTACGAGGCTGTCAAGTTTTCCCCAGAACACGCGCTCGCTGTCGGCGGTTGAAGGTTCGGTTGACCGCTCCACCGTGGCCTGCCAACAGAAACCTCATGGTCATAAGGCGTTCGTCAACAAACTCCGTAGTGAACGTGGATGTCTTGCGCAGTGACTCTTTGACAGCTATCCCCACACCATGGACTCCACCAGTCTCCGTGCCACAGCAGTGGAACACCCGGAAACCCGCTGCTGCAAATTCCGTTCGACCTGCCCGCCGTGTCTCCTGAATTCCTACCACCGATACGTCTTGTCTCACTGCCTCGTGTAGAACGCTGTAAGCTCGCCCGTATCCATTGGCCCCGTTTACAGCCAAAGTCCGCATATTCCAGGTTGCTACCCTAGGAAGTTGACCCTGCTGTCTCTTTCGCGCGGCGCGCGCTGCTCTCTTAGCTAGCCTACGCGCCGCCCGACCCCTCCTTTTCTTCCATCTTACCCGCTTTTTTCGTTTTTTTGCTATTTCCTTGCGAACACTCGGGCAACGTGATAGTTTATTACCCCGGTTCTTGCCTTGCTTCCCATAGAGTTGTCTTCTTGTCCCGGAGCGGTGTGGCCCTCCATCTCTGGACTCTCTCCTTTCCTCTCTCTGGGGCATACTCCCACGGCGTGCGGTCACTCCGCCACCCTCACTGTGCTCTCCGCTGCTGCATAGACCCGGTGTCCAAGCCGGGGCGTCAGGATCAAGTCTCATTTTTTTGCAGCTAGCTACCAAAGCTGGCGGCTCAGGAGCTACCCCGATCTCACGACAGCAGTAACTACCTCCCGCCAAACTCAGGATCGCCCTCTCAACAGTCCTAGGGACCGTAAATCCGTCTTTGCTGGGTGGCCTTTCGAGGCTTAGATCCACTTGCGGAACCTCGGCCTACCCCAGGGGCGGGGGGGGGCAGGCCGGGGAGGTACCATATTGGCGTCGAACGAAGCGTCAGCCACCACAACCCCGGCCTCTCCGCTCACCCAGAGTAGAGGGCTCCATACGCCGGGTCAAACCATTTGTCCGGTCGGCGCTGGCCGGTACATACGTCATCGGCCACCGATGGCTCATGTGTGTCTCCTATCGCGTGATTTCGGTTGCCGCCGAATGGTTGGATACCGGTCTCGCTACGCTACAAGGTGGTTGGTTCACGGAAAGGAGCTACTACGATGTGATCGTCCGCATGCATGCTCAACATGACCTCGCACGTCACCTTTTTTTGGACTTACAGCAGTCCGGAGTATAGTCTAGGCTCTAAGAAGACGTTGTGTACATATCCTGAAGTGCCTCTTTTATTTATAGCATGCGACCTTTGACATCCGGCCAAAAGAAAAAACCTGTTCGGGTCGGGTATTGCGTTCAATTTTCGTCTGTGGGCGGCTGGGGTTGGATAAGTAAGTGGTCTTATCTCGAATGGGTAGACTAGTCTTCTTGCTGTGTTTGTATTCCTGTTTCCTAATAAATTTGGGTTCATTATCGTGAACAAAGCTTGGTTGGTGTGTTCGAGAGTTGGAGTGCATTATCCAGGTGATCCAGGGTATCAAGATTCGACCCCGCTGACAGCAGTGTAAAGGTTTATTTTCGAGAACTAGAGTCTATGACGAGTTGATTCAAGAGCGCAGGATCCTCCGAGAGGGAGTGAAAGAGTCCCCTCCAAGGGGGAGTGAGAATATTGCGGGTGGGTACCGTAGTGCCACGCGATCTTGGAATTTGTAGTTCTTCTCATCGTTGCTTTTGGACGTCATATTTTCAGCTCTCAGCTGTCTCTCGTCCTTTGTAAATGTAGTCTACGCCCTACAAGTAGAAGTCATGTTTGTCTTTAAAAAAGAAAATCTTGCGCGCATGACCCGCAAACCTTCGAATGAGATGAAGCGCTTGATGAAAAACGAACGTCTCCTGTCGGCACCTGCCTGTGCGGCTCGAGCTCTCATTCACGACACTTGCGTCTTGACTCCAACACGAAAACCAGATGCTCGCACAAATACACCACTGCAAGCAACAAGAAGCCCAAGAAAACAAACAAAAAACGGTACAAACAGACCCAATGTTTTTGAATTGCTCGCTCATGTCTCCGTGACCACAGCATCTATAGCCCTCCCCACGTGCGTCCCTCGGCTGATCTCCCGCAACAGCAAGTCCTCGCCCCCTTCGATGTTGGTAACCGAAAGTGGCACCCAGCCTCTCCCCGACCCACTGGTGTCTACTTCTGACTTGGAATCGTCCTTACTCTTCTCGGCGGTGGCTTCAGGTTGGGTCGGGCTGATGAGACGCACAGTCTCTGCCTGCTGAAGGAATAGCTGGCCTGTTCTCCCGCCCTCGCCTGCAGTCATGGTTGGGGATCGTATCCACAGCGGTGGAGAGCGCGCGGGGGGGGGAGGTTGTACTCATGGGGGGTGTACTCATAGTCGTGCATGCCGTAGTCGTTGGACCATTGACCATGCATCCCTACAAAGCCGGGACGGAGCACGCCGGGTTCTTACCGGACCAGGCTCTCACATCACCAAGCGCGGAGCGCCGTGAGGTATTCGGCGAGTCTAATGGAGGGTGCGTTGCATCCTGCTGAAGGGGTGACCATTTTTCATGCATACAGGGCGGGCCCGCAGTGAACAAACATTTCGTTCAGAAACAGAGGCTCAAATTGACACGGAAATTAAGTTGCGGCTAAGAAACACAGCTCAGCGGTGGATCCTGCACTAAACTCTGTACTTGAATAACAACCTGCGCTCGACAGCACATGGCGACCAAATAAGAAACTGAGCCTCGACCCCATACCTACGTTGGTTATCATCTCCGGACCCGTTCTGTAGTCCCGTTCTTTAGACGTTGAGGCCAAACGCCACGAAAGGGAGAAAGAGAGAAAGAGGTGGAGGGAACAGCAACAACAAACTCTTGTGTGTGTCGCATTCTTCCTGTGGAACAGTTGACGCGCCCCGAAAACAAACCGAGGGGAACAAAACGCTGGCGTTCAAAATAGACTTGACGATACACATCCAAACGCCAATAAAAAAAAAACACCAGCTCGTCGTGTATCATGTACCGCACACGCCGCTGCGTTCCTTGTGGTTGTACGGCGGTTTCTCCTCGTGCGGCTATTGAATGTGAAGGCAAAAGCGGGAGAGCCGCGCGCTTGTACAAGACGCCAAGCGCTTTACCTTGGAACTCCACCATGATCATCGGACGCGTCTCCACCTTCAGGCGTCCTATCGCCACCTTTCTCGACTCCCCCTTCCAGTTGGTCACCAACACCTGGCAAAATCGAAAAATCAAAAATGTGTTTAGGACACAGGCAGTAAAAAATCACGCAACTCCGGCGCATGCTTCTTACTTAAGATTCTTGTCTTGTCTCCCACGCTAGCCTCTTTCAGAAGACAAAAAAAGCTTCAACAAATGCATCGAGCACCAGCCCATCTTGTGTTGATGGGGGGTCTCTTGTGAACAGACCTCTCTCTCTCTTACTAGTTTGTTGATAACGACACGCCAAAAAGGAGCAACTGTATCTAGCTCAAGCTCACAAGCCCACGCGTGTCTGTTCTTTCGCTTTGGACTTTTGGGGGAAATCCTACGCACCGTCGTGCGAAAAGTTCCATGAAAAACACCGTTCTCTTTCTTGTTTTTTTTCATTTCTTATTCTCGTTCTCAATATTTTTCTACCTGTTCTTTTTCTCGTGTTCATTTTCTTCTTTTGCTTGTTCTTTTTCTTGCCTGGTCGCCAGCACAGAGCTCGGAGAGATACTTGGTGCGCCCGTCCCCTAGCAGTGCGTAGGAGTGCACGGGCCCGGCGTTGATCCGAAATGGCCTGCTTGATACAGACAAGCGCACCACCTCAGGATTGCACAACGTATGTAGTGGCGTCTGTCAGTGTGCCGATGCAACCCGCTCGGAGCTAGGTTAAGCTCGGTCTCGAGCCGGAAAGGTCGAAACCTTGTAGAATGAGTCCGTCGCGGCCGGAATCGGTCAATGACCGATTGGAATGCATGCGGTACGGAACAGGTGGTACTGGACAGAGGGTACACAGGCCTTCAGTGTCAAAAAAAAGTAACACCAACACCGTTCCAATGCCTCCCCGCCGCCACCACCAACGCATCCTGGCGACAAAGCCTTCTGGTGCTGCAAAAAAACATAAAAAATAAAAATCTCCTTGCCTGGCGGGCACGAAGCCGGTCTCGAAAGTCTCGGCGTGCACCAAGGCAAGCATCTTAGCGCTCGAACCGATGAGCATGCCCTCCCCGGCCTTCAGGCTCTGGATCAGGTCTACGCACACGCGGTCCCCGACCCCCCCCTCGCGTGTCCTCGTCACCCTGCCTGTCGACAGCGCCACTACGTCCAACCCCCCCCCAGCTCCGCCTTCGCCGTGATCGGCGGGCGAGGGAAGTGCGCCTGTCGCGGGGCCGTCGATGCCACGCTGCTCTCGGGCACTCACGGCAGCTTCCCAGAGGTCCGGGTCCGGCCCTAGCAGTAGGGCGTCCACGCCGATCTGGAGGGCGAACGCCGCGCCTTGCACTTGGGACGGCTCAGACAGCTGTCGCGAGAAAAAGGGGAGCGGGGAAGAAAGCAAACACCACAGGGAGAGAAATGGTATACGAGATATACGGAGAGACATGCGGAATGCATTCGCGGTTTGTGTGGGGGGCGCCGGGAAATCAATGCGGTGATATGCATATACGATACCAAAGTGGACAGAGGAAGGGGCCGTTGGCATCGTTGGGCTTGGAACCGACCGGATAGCTACTGCGGACGTGGGTGATACGGAACGGATCCGTACCTAAGTAATACTTCGTCCTAGACGAAAAATATGCTCGAAGTATCACGAAAAACAACAAGATAGTGTTAAGAAAGATAGCTCACCCGTGGGTCCTACAGGAAACGCTTAATGATATCCTGTGGTCGACGGTGGCAAAGAAAAAATACATGTTAGGCTTTAGCCTAAATTGGCAATTCGCAAGCGCGGGTCCGTTCTGAAGTCCAAGTCGAAACAGCGGGGAAAACGAACAAAGGATTATTGTTCAACTGCAGAGCCTACATCGTATTGATGACGCACGTCCCGATTAACATGACGGCGTGCCTATCCTTACCATTGCATTTTGGCGGTACGTCGGCGTGGGCACAAAAGATAACGAAGCGGAGAGAGCGGCAAGTACGACAGAAAGACGCAACTGAACCAACACCCTGCCCACCTCCACAGCGATGCGCGTAGGGGTGCCTCCCGCGGCAGAAATAAGGTTCTCCGCCGGTATCATGGTCCAATCCGAGCATGTCACCTGCACGACAGCCAACGAAAGGGGGTGTTGCCGTACACGAGTGTTTTCAACGTAGTATATCTGCTGTATCTTACGCATACGGGGTGGTTGAACTTCCTTACCCGACGTCGAGCAGGACTTTCATCTTCCGGCTAGTAAACGAGCGCGGGGAGCGGGGGGGCAATAGGCATCGTGACGCTGCGAGGCAACCTGCATCGTGATGTTGAAACGAGCAACTATTCCC